GTTTTAGTTACTATTAAATCTCATCATTTTTACTAAGTGATGATCTAATGATGCTCTTTGCAAGAGGATGAAAGCTTTGTTTGGACTCCTGTTCCAGTTCTTCTCATATCAGTATTTTCTGTATCTCTTCAGTTTCCTCTCCTATGTCATTTTCCTTTTTTTTTCTTGAATTCTTTCATACCATGCTGCTGTGGCAAAACAGCTGCCATGGAGCACCTCAGCTTTGACATATATGTATGTGAGCTATAGGAGGTGAAAGTTGGGAACAAAATCCTCTTATCTTGGATGAGAACTGCAAATTCCTATTCCAAAATCTGCATTCAAGAACAATTTTAGCTCTTAAGTTTCTATTGACACCTTGTGCCATACTCATACAGCAAAGCAGCATCGTGGAAGGGCAAAAACCCACAATGCAGCCAAATCTTCAGACATTTGGCCTGCAACAGTCACCTACACTTGCCTCAGAGCTCACTCTGTCATCTATGAAGACATCCATTTCCAGGGGCTGTGTAACATCTGAGTGCTTACATACATCAACTGGAATATTTACAAATGCAGCCAGTTGAGGGAAGGGGTCTCAGTAATTATCTTTCACTTCACTGGAATACCTAACAGGGAAAGTCCTCTTTCTCTGGTAGATTGCTCCAGCAGATGCACCATAGGATATGTTGCCATGGAAACAAAGCCTTTTCCCTCTCATATTTCAACAATGTGTTGAAGGTTTTCAAGGCCTTTTCCCTTTTTTGCTCTGCTTGGCCTTTCAGCATTTACTGTGCATCATATGCTGGAAGTGCAATGCTCTTATTCTTCAAAACCCAAGCAAAAAACTCACAAAATTGTTTCTTCCATCTGAACTGACCCTCTGCCATCCCTGCCTCTTATTCCTCATCTCTGTCATTTGATGGCTTTCTATGACACTAGCTCCAGATCAGGAATTTGCTTTGTGTGATACAAAGTTCCTTCGCCTATGCCCAAAAGCTCTCCCCAAGGGCAAGGGAGAAGCCCTGCTGCTGTGGATCTGTTTTGCAGATGAAGTTTTTCCCTGTTACACAATGCAGTTGAATGTCTTGAATGTCTTTTGGGGTATCGGGGGTGAGGAGGAAGGAGGTGTAAGCTTTTCCACTCATGGGAAGAAAGTGATGAAATGTGCTTTCACAGCAATGATTTCTATCTCTGTGGATTCAATGCCTTGCAGTCTCTGGTGTGAAACCTACAACCACAGCCTGTTGCTTCCTTGCATAGCGCTGGATGCACTTGCTTATTAAAGTCCTGGTTGTTGAAAAGCATAACAGATTAAAGACGAGATCTAGGAGCAGTTAAGTACTGAGGAGGGATCCTCACTATGCTGCGCAGCTGCCTGTTTCCTTGCATGGTCCATTCCTCTAATAGATCCTGCAAGTCACTCTAAACAATGCATGTCCCACTGTAGCTCCTCCCTTACAGTCTGCAGATGACTCTCAGCTCATGAAAACCTTTTGAAAAGCCAAGAGAAGGTCTTATGTTTGTGGCTATCATGTTACATTCCATTAGAATTCATGGGCTGTATTTCAGATAAACATTATTATGAGCACATTTCCCAGTCACTGCTTCCCTCCACTCTTTCCCTCTGAAAGCACAGCTTTGGTTACCTCTGCTCTTACTTGCTAAAGCTGACTACAAAGGATGTAGTGTGTTTATGTTTTGTTGCTTTAGAGTGTGTCGGAATAACTGTCAGCCCTAGAGGGCAAACAGTGTTTTCTAGACAATTATTAAAAAAAAAGCAATTTATTTGAATACAGCAGGGGTTTTGATGGCACTGAAGGTGTCTTCTGACCCATCAAAAGAATAAGCTAGGGCATCCAAAAGCACCAGACAATGCACAAGGTTACTGCATTTGACTGCCAGGAATAAGAACAGGAGCTGCATCTCATAGCTGAGATGCTGAGATGGGATAACAAGAGAGCAGATAATCAACAATCACTCCTAATGAGTGCTAGGCCTGCTGAAGAAAGAGAGAAAAATAAAAGGAGGGTTTTTTTATGAAGCAATACTACTTTGGTAGTTTGGGAATATGGGAACATGCTCTAAAACTAGTCATCAACCACCATCACTAACTCCCCATAATCTACAGCAACTGGCCCACTCCTGGAGAAGTATCAAAGGGGAAGATTACCAGACCCCAATGTGTGCACTGCTGGGAAGCTTAAGAGTGCAACAGCACAGTATACGCTCCCAGGGAAATTAGTCTCTGCCTGTGCTCTCAGAAGGGAGTCAGGTCGAACTAAGTCTTTCTTCGTTTAGGAGACCCGTAACTTGGACTAGAAAAAGGTTTTGATGGATTCAGAATCAGCAAAATTCCCCCAGAGTCCATGGAAAATGTTCACAAGGCAAGGGTGTGCTTTGGAAGGTGCTGTCTTTCTGGGGAACAGAACCATAACACTTGAAGTCGTGGAAGGCTTTGCCCTCCAGGCCCAAATGACCCAGGGTGGCAAAAGTGCTAAAACACACCCTGAGTTCACAGTTTAACAACAGAATTGTCTACCACTCAAGAAAGTGCTTGAGATTAAGCCATTATGTAATCGCTCTGTAAACTCAAATTACTTATAGCATTTCCTTCCAAAGATGCAGGGATGAACAGTGTCTCATTTTGTAGCAATTACTGATAACAAATGGTTTAGTTAAAGCTTAGTAAAGATACTTTTAGTTGAAGCCCCTATTTTTCCACTGTGGACTGGAACTTATTATTTTTGGCCACAGCCCAAAGAGGTGACATTTCGAAGTATGAATAAAACTAGCATAACAACTTGCAATCGTGCAAAGACAACTAAGATCTACATTTCCTCTAATTCCTTCTGTTGTCTGCTGTTTTTTCTCATGAGCTGTACCGTCTCCGTTTGGTTAAACAGCCAAATAAAAAGGCAAGAGCCATCTTTCTGCTACAGTTTTATCTAGTGCCTTGCACAAGAGCTGCTGGGGACTGCTAACGGGGGATGAGGTGTGTGGGGCCCTATCAGCAGAGATGAAACTACAGTTGTAATGAGACAAGATGAGATGGACTGCACAGAACTGGGAGGGTGGTCCCATGGGAAATGTAATCATCATGCTGGTGCCAGTCACAGTTAGTAGCACTGTGGCTTAAATCCCCATTATCAGGGTTATCAGTGCTGGCAGGAAAAAGGAAGCAGTTTAGGCAGATGGAATATCTCTAATCTTCCTAGTCGTTGTGCTTGTGTGTTGCTGCCATGAGGGCAAATAATATGGACATCTAAATCCCTTGTCTACACTTGGAGTGTATCCAAATGGATGCCAAGGTAAACAATCACAAATCCTGGCTTGGACTGTCTACTCTTGAGGCCTCCAGCAATGCTGCCAGGCTGGGTGATTGTGGATTTTAGGCCCTGCCAAATGTACACAGGATTTACTCCGTATGTGTCCTTTGGAGCAGAGTTCCCTTCTTGACATGCTTTTTAGGAGCTAACCCTTGTGCTGGCACCTGAGCCAGTCTGCAGCTCTGTCTTGCAGTGAAAAGGGGCTATGGGACTGATAGAAAGCAAGAATTTGGGACAGCTGGGAGCATGTGGGCGACAACCTCTCCCATGAGATTTTGTGTGCACAACATTTTCCCCAGGGGAGGGTCTGTGCTCTTCAGACAGCGGCAATGTGAGGCTGTGGGGCTTGGCTGGACTCCTCTGAGCTACTGACGTGCTGTGTGGATGTGCTCCATGGCTGCCTGGCTTCTAGGGCATAAATCAGCAGAGCTGCACGGCATGAGGTAGGAGGCCAATCTGCTTTCCGGGCAAAAGGGCAGCTGCCTATGGGTGCAGTTTGATTGTGATAGTAGCAGACAGTGGATGTCCACCAAGACAGAGTCCCAGTTAGAGGTGCATACTCCAGCCACCCTATCCCACTTCAGCATTTTGGCCCCTTTCATTCCAGAGCTCATAGCTATTGCACTGCTGTCTCAGAGCTTAAATGGTTCCTGCTTCCGTACGTTTTCAGAGGCTGCTTCCTATCCCCCCCCCAGACCATCCCCAGCCCACCCTGCATCTATAACCCCCTCCTAACTCCCTGGCAGAGCTGCCCACCTGATACATGAAGTTCACCACCCCCCTCCCACTGGTGCCTATTTTTCAGATATGTCCCTTTTTTCATCCTTCTTGTCAGTGGTAATTTCTGCTCGTTAGTGTGGCTGCTCCAGCCACCCCTCACCTGACTCCCCAAGGGAATGATTTCTCCAGTGCATTATGCAGATGTGCAAACAGCTGGATGCAGGAAGCACTTGCCAAAATTTCTCCTCTGAAGTAATCAAATATCACAAAAAAAGATGTGTCTAGGGAAAACTTGACTTTTGCTAATCCTATTGTTGACTTCTACTAAGGATACAGTAACTTTGTCTTACTATTTTTTATAACTCTGTCATGAATCTGTTTAAAAACTAAGGGGGTTTTGGTGGAGGAGAACAAATTTATTAGGCATTTGGGCCAAGTTTGAGAGAAGATATTGGTATTTTGAAACAGTTAATTTTGGACACAGATAGAAATTTGATTTGGGTGATTTTGTAAATAACCTAAAAATACTGAAAAAAATACAAATATTGCTAAAAAAAATGACCTTGCTGAAAACAAGAAAAATGGGAACATCTTTCCAAAGTGATTAAATAACTCCAAACTGTAAGAGAGGTCAGTTTGGAAAGAACGAAAGAGGTCAGGCTGGATCCAGAATAAACTACTTTGCTTAAAATCTGCTTAAAAATCTTGTTATGGGTTGAATGTTATTGAAGGCTATATAAAAATAAATAAATGCCTCCCCAGCTCTACTTCACACAACAGTAAGAAACGCTAGAGGTGGACTTGCAGACTTTTGAATGGAGGCAATCCTATTTTTGTACAGTACAGAAAGAAAGAGACAGTCATAGCACAGCAGAATGTGCAACCTCTAAAGAAAAGGACAGAGGGAAAAAGAAATACAGGGAGAAAGGATATGTTCTGTCAGAAAGAAAAAAAAAAAGCCTTGGTAATATATATTTGTTTTATGGTGATACGTTTTATTAATGACATTTTAAACACTGTTTTGGCTTGTTTAAACACCAGTTTTATACAGATTTAACTAAATTGGTTTACAAAACAATTGAATTAAGTCAGGCAATCTCTGAGAGCACAGGCACCTGTATCATAAGTGTTTATATTGGCTTAGCTTGTGTTAGTAAATCATCCTTTGCTGCTCGGCTTCTTCCCACAGCAGTTGCTTGATTGCATTGCAAGTAGCTTTGCCTCCCTCTCTCTCTCTGGAATTTGACACCATTCCCCTGCAGCAGAACAGCCGTGAGCAGGGAGGAAAGGCAGAATGAAGGCCGGTCTCTCTAGTGGGCTTTCTGGGAGGAAAAAGAGGTGGACTTTTTCCTGAGGAGGAAAAAGAGGCAGAGGGGATGGGTAGCAGCTTTGCAGATGCAATGCCTGCATCAGCTCAGAGATGCAGCTTGCAGCTGACTACAGTGGAGCTCTGGCTCACCCAACAGCCATTTTAGTTGCTGGAACTCAGACACTAGCAAAAAAGTTTTCTGTTTTTGTTTTTTTTTTCTGCAAGTGAGCAGTGCATGTGAAGATGCCACTTCTTCATGTTTTGTCCCTGTGCTGGCTACTTTCCTCCTAACCCGAAATGTTTTGTGAAAATGTCTTTTTGCCAGGTACAGGGATGCTGCTGTTAAGACAGTTTCCATTGCCTCACACTGAAGCAGGATTCTTCACTGACTACTGCAGCGTGGGCCCCAGAGAGGTACAGAGCAGCACACGCCCCTTGCAAACCAGCCTCTGTTGGTCAACAGCCCTGACATTTTTGTACCTTCCTGCACTTCACTTGTTGCTGGACTCACACATCAGCAGGTGACATTTCAGCCTCCACCTATGGCTGATGCGTGAGGAGAAAGAGAGACAGTAGCCAGGGTCTGTGGAGGAACCCCGCAATGCGCAGCACCCATCACGGAGGATCAGCTGCCTGGCACTCAGCGTGTCATCTGTCCCGTCAGCTGATGGTGCTGCCCGTGTCCAGATGTTCACAGGTGATGGTGCTGTGTGGAAAAAAAGGGAGCAGAGCTTCCTGCGGGACGACAAGTGCACAGCTTTATAAAACCAGTTGTGTAGGCCTTCAGTGAGGAAGGAGGAAGGTGTGTGCCCCAACGTGTTGTGACCACGGCCAGTGTCAGGGTAACATTATTTTTGTAGTGTTACTTTTGTAGCGACACGTTGCAAGTACCCCCTGCGGTGCAGGACTGGTCTCCCAGACGGGACCTCCAGGATGAGAGATCCAACTGGCAGTCAGATGCCTGGGACTCGGCGGGACCTTCGTGGGGTGCAGGGGAGATGGACCCTCCGAGGCCTCTCTCCTAGGAGCACAGCCGGACAGCAAGTGGCTGAGGGGCAGGGGGACAGAGGCAGCCTCTCTGCCCGAGGGTCTGCCAGCAGACACCCGGGGCAGCGCGGGGCAAGGGGGAGCACACACAGAGCCCACACACACACACGCAGCCCGCCCCCAGCCCACACACACACAGAGCCCCCCCCCAGAGCCCACACACACACAGAGCCCCCCACACACAGACCACCCCCCCCCCCCCGAGACTCCCCCCCACACAGCCCCACACACACAGCCTACCCCCAGAGCCCCCTCGGCTCCTCCCGCCGGGGCCGGGGCCGGGGCCGGGGCCGGGGCCGTGCACGGCTCACCGGGGGCGGCGGGCGCCACCTGCCGGGCGGCGCTGGGCCGGGCCCGGGCCGCTGCCACCCGCCGCTCCCTCACAGGCCGTGCCTCCGGCCGCCCTCCCTCCCTTGCCCGGCCGCACAGCTCCTGTCCCTTTATTAATTTTTGCTTCACACTTTCCCTGGCCGTGCGTCGCCACTGCGACCGTCCAAGATGCTCAGTCTCACTAGGGCATCCTTCCCAATCTGGTACCTATCAAGCTAAATGAGGCATAATTAGGAATAATTATGACATGACATAGTCTGGAATGAGAAGCAGATGGGGTTCCCCCAGGATGCAGCAGGTTGGATTTCAGGGAGGAGGGGACGGGCACAGAGCAGGGACACGGTTGTCCGTCACGATTTCCTACTTGTTGTCACCTCCGCTGGCAGGGGCTGGAGACACTGTCCTGGCCAGCAGTGTGCTGCAGCAAGACCTGTGATATGGGTCTGTGCTCTGAGACACCCGTCTTGGCCACTGTGGCTCCTCTGTAGTGGTTTTACTCACTCTCTGCTAGAAAAGTGAAGCAGCACCATGTGTGCTGTCCTTCTGACTCCTCCTTCTATGCAACATCAGTCCTAATTTTGCAGTAATATATGGAGTTTTTCTCTAGCAAGTAGGTGGAAGAGAGAGAATTCAGGAGTATTGGCTCTTTGGTACCAGCAGAAGACTGTGGTGCTGAACTGCAAAAGCCAGAAACGTGTTCTCACACATCCTTTGTGTCCCCTGTGAAGGACACTCAGCTGCTCTGTGTTGTAGAGTGGGCGGTGAATAGGCAATGATACTGGAAAGGTGCTGGGCACTGCTAGGAAAAGAGACATTTAAGGGAAACCTCACCCTTTGGCTCTTAAGAGAAGATGCTCCTTTGAAAGGAAGTAAAGGAGGGGCCCCATATTTCTGGCACATTTATTTGCCTTGGTGCCTGTACCGGGATAGGAGAGAATGTGGGTTTTGGCTGGAGATGTGGATCCACCTGGGTAAGACTGTGAATTGGCTTGTAAGCACCCATTTCTCATTAAAAACTGATGTCAACCACAAGAAAACCCAGGACTAAGGGAAGCTATAACCACTCTCTTTTCCCATTACAATAACATGAGATGTTGGGAGGCCTTATTGCTGGCATTTTGTTACACTTGCATATCTGGGTACATCCCTCTGGGGAGAGAGCCAGATGTTACCACACAGAAGGTGGTGATATCATGAGGTGGACTAAAATGCCAGCTGAAGCACTGCCTTTAGGTGCCTTTTTGGCTACTTTGCTGTCGGGAGGCACAGACAGGAGGCAAGAAGCCAGACTAGCCCCGATCTCAGATCAGGTTGTTGGGAGTTAGGACATGTGGCAATAGAGGAGCAATGTGCTGCTCTCCCCTTCGCCTGCCCTTTGCCCTCTGACTCCCAGCCATGCCCTCAAGGCAATACATGACATGCAGAACAACTGGTTTTCTTTCACCCCTTGCTATACAGCCTTGGCTGCATGGGGGGCACCCAGAGGGAGAAGTTGATTATCTTTCTTTCAGGATAAATCTTGCTTGTTGCTGAGAGGCATTTTTCCCTTAGTCTTCCCAGCAGCCATTCTTTAAGTTGCCCCTACTTCTAGTTACCATAATTACAGATTTGCTGTTCCCAGCAAAAAACTATTTTCCTACAAAATAAAGGCAAAGCAAGATATTCTTAAGAATGTTATGGGAGATGGATAGCTGCACTCAGGAGTACTCAGGAGCTGCAGACTAGTTCTGCTTGGACATACATGCATCTCATGTCTGCTTCTGTTCAGCTAGTGTTGCTTGTGGTATCTCCAGCACCTGATATGGTTGAATTCAGCCTGATGACCACTACTCTTGCCTCCTTGATGTAGATTAGCTAACAGTGGAACTTCTTGCTTGTTGCAAGGTTTTTGCCATGTCTCATATGTTAATGAATAACCCAGTTCAACAGGGGATTTTCAGAATAATTCCCCCTAAGGAGCTGTCTTCATGCTGTGATAGTGCTGGCTGTAGGTTTTTAGTTTGCTAGGGCTTGGAAGCTCTGACTCTACCAAAGTTGCTAGAGTTCTTGATATTTTTCCTGGTGAGTGGGAATGAAAAGCAGTATTTCTGATTTTTCCTCTGCAGGAAATTTTCAAAATGAAACCGAAGAATCGCTTCTGGAAAATCAGTCTTGTCATCTCAGAGTTCTTTAGAAGTGCCATGCTGTTAACACCTTTTCATGCCAGAACAGTCTATTATTCTGATTTCATTTTCAAAACCACTAAAGGGAGGATTTTTCTTAGTATATCTTGAAACCCCTTTTCTAGCATAGCTGCTTCTCTTTCTTGATAGCAAAATATTTTAACACATGGATAGAAAGGGAAGGTGGGTTCATCTTGTTTCACGTTACTCACAGAAAAGTCAAGCATTTAAGCACAACTTGTTTTTTGGGGTCCTTACACAGTCAGGGAGAGAAACATAAATCAACAGCATGCTCCAGCGAGGTCATGCTGTAACTTGAGCTAGAAGAGATATACCTCCATCTCACAGAGCACTGAGCAAGTAATACTGCCCACATCTTGTTTGTTTTGTGATCAGACTCATTGAATTGCCCCCTGGATGTTTCTGTTTCTCCCCTTTTGCTATAGAGGGAACCCAAATAAGTAGTTTTGCCCAAATGCCTAATTGTTAGAAAGCTAAAATTAATATGATGAATGCTACTTCACAGGCCTCGTTCACATTCGAAAAAGGGATGAGATATTTATGCCATTTGCACATTTTCGAGAATGTCCTCATTGGCAACTGCAGTCATCAGTATGCTCCATACTCCTTGAATATGCATAATTGAAGCTTGGCTACTTCGGGAGATATTGCTTGGTTTGTTGGAGAGATACTGCTCATGAGCATAATGCTGTTGTTTGCTTATACACTATGACACAGACTGTGTTCACACACACTGATTGTGCTCCCCCTGGGCATCCTAGATAGCACTTTTTCTGTGATGGCATCTTTCATCATGTCCAGTTTTAAGAACTATCTTCATCAGCAAGACAAACTGGGGAACATTTTATGCTAGAATCATTCTAAGAATAGAAATCTGCTGGATATCTGTTCAAGATGCCTCCTGGATTTATTGCCTTGTGGGCTCTTGGATCCTTTCTTGGAAGTATAGGTAGACACTCTCTTTGAAGCAGATCAAACTGGAAGACTCCTCTGTGCTGGCTGATTCATGCAGCCCCACAGGTTGTAGACTTGTAGCAGTGTATGTACCTTGAACTTGCCCAGTGCTGTGTTCTGGAAAGCTTTCTAGATGACTGTACAACAGTTTGTAGTAACTGAGACAGAGTGGGGTCAAGTCACATGAATGGTGGTTATGGATTGGCAATAATCTCACCTTCCATGGACTGCTGGACATCTAAGGGTCAGCATCTGTAATTTGGATACAAATCAGAGCCAGAAAAGATATGTGTGCCCAAGTTTAGATTCTCATGTGATTTGCCAGGTAAGTTAGTTAAAGAAGGCTGATGAGGTGTCTACCTCTTTTAGAAACATTTTTTCCCCCTATTCTTAATAAATGCCTTTATCTGCATTTTTCATTTTCTGGATATTTTTGTAGATATGATCTCTCAACTTTATCATTCCAGCTCCAGCTTGAAAAACTGAACTTGCATAAGCAAGCATCTAGTCTAGTTCCTCTTGATTCTGTCTGGGAGTTGCTTCTAACATAGAGAGGTGATAGGACAGCTAAGTCCAGATGATAGGAATTATTGTCTTTGCTGTTGTCTCAGTTTATGTGCCACAGGCTGACCCTGGTGAACAACAGATAATGCAAATTAACTCCCCTTTCTTTGTGTCTTTTACACATTTTGGCACCTACAAGCTGATACAGGGACATGGCTCTGCTTGGAAAACCTGAGAGAAACCACAGCATTAACCATTCACTAATCAGATAATATAGAGACTCACTCCTGGTTACTGACCATTCCCACAGCGGTTTTGTTCTCTCTTCATCATCCTCAGTCATAGCAACTGGTAGGATGTGCACCAGTAAGGATATTTGCTGTTCAACATATGTCTGAGTTTCACTTTGAGACCTCAGTTCTGTCAGCCATTTAAAGATTAAATGCCACTTCTCTAAGTGAGTGGCAGAATCACCACAAAAATCACTGGCAGAGACACAACCCCTTAGGAGCATCTCATTGATCCTCTCATGGTTCCCAAGCAGCATGTAGTATTGAATGCATGACTGTCTATTTCTCCAGATTAGTTGATTTAGTTACACATCCCTTGGACTTTTCAGGGGGGAAATTTGTATCCTTGGAAGACACAAAAGTCAAATAAAAGCTGGTCCAAACCATACCAAACAGCATTACTTGCTTCAGCAAAATGCAGGTATCCCCTGGGTCTAGAAAAGAGCTATTTCTGTTGGTCCTGCTGAAACCAGCCCAATTCCACTGTCTCTGGTGGAACTGCGTGCTATGCATCTTGATTATTGCTGCTGGCATCCAGCATGGGGTCTAAAAGCTGTTGTGCTGGAGAAAGACCTTGAGGCTTTTTCAAAGCTAAATGATTCCATAATTCTATGATCTGTGTCTTCACCCTGATTCAGAGGGTCTATGATCACAGTCTTCCCCCAGCCAGTTGGTGAATGGGTGTGTCTACACGCAGTGCCCCTGAGAACTGTTGACAAATGCTGTGGATATTGCATGACTGATGCTTTCCCAAGGAAATGTTCTCTTTTCCCCTTACTTGCTTTATTTCTCCCACCTCCCATCCCTTCATGTTTTACAAAGTGTCTCTTGTTTTCTGATATTCAGCTGTGAAGATGAAAGGTGGCTTGTCCTGACTGTGGAGGCATGGAGACAGCAGTCATACTACCAGGGCAGTGTTCATGGTCATTTTCTCCAAGGAAAAATGTAGAGAATATTTTTTCAATTTTTTTTTTTAATTACATGGGGGGAAATGCAATAAAAGGGGAAACTTGCCTTGTA